AAAAAAAAATTAAAATTTTTTTTTTTTTTTTTTTTTTTTTGGTATTGGGAATTGAACTCAGGTCCTCATACTTGCCAGGCAGGTGCTACACCCCTGAGCTATATCCCTGACCTATAAATTTTTTACATACACTTTAAAAACTGAGTATCATTCACATACCACAGAGTTCATGTGGCTTTTTAACCACATATTTCATAACTGACTTACTGATACCTTTAAGGTTGTAGGTAGTGTTTCATGCTAGGTGGAAAAAGTCAAAACTCAAAAAGTACCTCGGTTCTCATCCTCATTCTTTCTACATCAGAGTGTGGTGTCCAGAACATAACATCAGCATCACTAGGCACTTGTTAGGCAAAATCTTGGTCCCCATCCTACATGTGCTAGCACAGAAAGTAAAGAGTGGGACCCCTGTAATCTATGTTTTAAGCTGCTAAAGAGATTCTGAGGCAGTGAAGATAGAGAACAACTGTTCTAAGGTTGAGACAATTGTTCTATTTTCATAAAATTTTATATTTGCATATATGTATAATTTACTAGTTCCATTTATTTAGTATTAGAATATTAATATTTCGTATAACCTGCTCATCAAGTCAATACATTGATTTATTTTTTGGCAAATGACAACATACCAATAGTTATATTCAAATGCAAACAAAAAAAATGAGGGAAGCATACAGGAGAAGGGCAGGGTAGTTCATGCCTTTAATTTAGCACTCTTGAGATGCTGAGGCAGGAGGATTGCATAGTTGATCCCAGCTTGGCCAACAGGGAGACATGGTCTCAAAATAAAAAGGGGAAGGGTAGTAGTTTAGCACAAAGGTTCTAGATTCAATCTTCAGTATGCCAGGTAGATAGGGCACAAGATCTCAAATGGAGAAGGAAAAATAAGCATAGCTAAAGAATATATTTGGTGAGATAATAGATGGGAAGTAAAGATAAAATTCTGAGCCAATCCTTTGTTAATCTGCCCTATTTCTCTACCTTACAACTGTAGCATTTATCTATGACAAAGCAGTACCAAGAAATAGTGGTAGAACTTCAAATAGTGGTAGTCACTAAAAAAGACAGTATAGGTCCTAGAGTTTTCCATGGGATTCCAACCACTAAATCCTAAAACAGACAGAGTGAAGTTGCTCAGGTTGTGTCAAGGACCAGACACTGAGGACCCAACCACTGTAGCCTGTGTGTTCTCAGAATACGGTTAGAAACCAATTAATTTTGTAAAAGCTTTCCCTTTTGTGGATGAATATAATAAAGTCCCAAAAGAATACTGGTTGTGGTCCTGATGGCTTCTAAAATGAAAGTTCTGATGTGTGAATGGAATTGGCTTATTGAGATTTACCATCTTTTGGGTAATGAATCCCCTAAAATTAGATCTTTGAGTTGTTTCTAGTATTTTACAATGCCAAAGCTTCAGTGATTGTTACTATATTCAGATCTTTGTACTTCAGTCATTATTTCTGTACAGTCATTATTTCTGTAAATTACCATGAATAGAAACACTGTGTCAAAAATTATAAACTGTTAAGCCTCAATACATGATTTCCTAATCGTCCTCTAGGCAGGATGGATTAAAAGCAGTGTACTGAAAGTCACTTAAATTTTCTTTTTTTTTTCTTTTGGTACCTGGGATTGAACTTGGGTCTTTGTGCTTGCAAAGCAGGGGCCGAAACCACTGAGCTAAGTCCTCAGCCCCAAAGTCACTTAAATTTAAATTCAACTTTACCACATTATTTTCTTTGCCAAAACTAGTGACTTTTAAATCATTAATATTTCTTCATTGATCAAGCTTAAAAGCATTTCAGAGTTAAGTATATACTTCTTTTACATCCCAGCAATACCATTCTCAAGTATTTATTCAAGAGAAAGGATTATATATGACTATAAAGACCAGTGAGGGTCCAAAGTAGAAATACATAGCGTCCATCAACTGATAAAGAAATTGGTGTTTACTCCTACATGGGATATATTCTGTAGTAAAAAGTAACCTAACTTTGAAACATACAACAACATGGATGAATTTCAAAAACATTATGCTAAGTGAAAGAAGCCAGACAGAAAAGACAGCACACCAATACTGTATGTATGATTCCATCCATATGAAATGTTAGAAAAACATAAAACTATAATGACAGAAAGCAGGGCAGTGGTTGGCTATGGCCAAGGGTAAGGTAAAGGGATCCCGCATAAGAACACTTTTAAAAGTGATCATATGTGGTAGTGGATGCACTACTAAAAACTGTTACCAACATTCACCACTTTTCAGTGAAAATGGATGATTTTATTGTGTGTAATTGCAACTCTAAGCTGACAGGGCTGCTAGATTTTAGAATCACAAAGCCAATCACATTCTATAAAATAAACAAATGAATACATAATGCTGAAAAAAAAAAGAAAGCCAAAAGTAATTCTGAAATGTTGGAGAGAACTAACACAACATAAGCTAGTAAAAAGATCAAAAGCAAACACCATTTATTAAATTTGGAAGAAAAGCTATTGTTCTTACATTTTTGCTTATTTCCTTTCAACTTTGTGTGTATTCATAATAATCCACAAAGCATATTTAAATTTATTAGTGCTGCTGAGGACTGAACCCAGGGCCTCTATCATGCTACACACTCTACGACTGAGTTGTACCTCTGATCTACATCCCCAGCCTTATAAATATATATTTTAGACATTTTACATCACAAGAAATTTTGTATTTCTCTGTATACTTTTTATGATTTAATTTAAAATTATTACATGTAATAATCCAAAGCCAGAACCATGAGGTGAATTTCCAAGTTTTAAAGTTAATGATGCCTTGATATTTGGATGCCACCAAGTGGACAAACTAAGTAATGTTTCTGAGATTGAACATTTTATGTTTTACACATTTAAAAATGTTAATTTCATGTTTAAAATTAACTTCAAAAATTAATTTTTAAACTGAAATAAAAAGTGAAACCCACACCATTTAATAAGTGTACTACACTATGATCCTTATCTATTTCTTGAAGTAAATTAACTCAAATCAGAATCTGAGGACATCAGTTAAGGAAAAGAATGTGCTATCAAATTTGAGATGTTTACAAACTAAAACCACAGGTGTGGATGGTCCACCTGGGTCTGTCTTCAGCCCCAATCCAGGACTTCCAGAGGCAAACAGCCTTTGCTCTGAATCATCCAAACAACTTCTAACAAAGAAGGCAGCCCTGTCAGGAAGCACAATGATGCAGGCCTGGTGAAGGAAGAGAAAATCATCAAGGAATCCACTAACCCGTGGGCAAGGACTAGCTGACTCTCTTTAGGAGTCACCAGTGTTTTCTCCATATAGTTCCTCACCTCTCCAGTGCAAGTATCACTATGACATTGAAACGGTAAATAACTGGACCACAGAAAAAAGACAGATGACTTGAAGAAAAGGTCAGGCCTCTTTTAAGGGACTGTCTTGGAGTGGATCCTGAGCCTTTGCTGCCACCAACAACGGGACATGCATACACTGTGCACCGCCTGTAGCCCAGTACTGCTTGCAGTTATTTTCTCTGGCAATCTTTCCCTATTCCTTCTTGCTCGTTTAAAGTTGACAACCTCCGTAGGCTGAAAAGAAACTGTTTAAATGCAAACAAATTTGAATCATGCCACTAAAGGAACACTTAGAGTTGAAAACCTCCTAGGTCTGTGAAGTGAGAAGCCCTGGACAGTGAATTTATAGCTGAGACAGAAGCTGCAGATCTACCTTCAGGCTGAAATGTGTGTGCCCTCTCCTGTTTCAAAGCTAATTCTATTTCTGAACTGGAAAATCACTCACAATTAAAAACAAAATTCCAAAGGCGCAAAAGGGTAAACTGGAAAGATTCCTTCCACCTGTTTCCGCTGGCTGACTGGCACCATACCTGAGCAGGTATAGTATTTCTAGTGAATCCTTACAGAAATATTTAAATATTTTGTGCATATACAAATATTCACCCCCTATATACATTCTATTCCATCCGCCCTTTTTTTTACATCAACAGCAAACCAGCAAATACAACGCTTTTTAAAATTTAATAATATATATGGGATATATATATAATATACAATACATATATAGTTTATACCATAGCAATACATTTATTTTAAAATTGTAACATAATCTATCACATAGATGTGCCATAAGATATTTAATGAGTTCTTTATTAAAATGGACATTTATTTATTCCATTAGGATCTTGTGTACTATTATAATTAAGAGTGTAAAATAGGAAGAAAAGGGCTAAAGGTGTAGGGAAAATGGGACAGGTAGGGGAAAGGAAATAAGGGAAAAGAAAAAATATGAGAAAATGAAAAAATGGAAATAAAGAGTTTGTTAATGGGGAGGGGACAGGGGGTGAAGGGAGGGCAGGGACAAGGGGAAAAAATGAGAACCAAGACCTGTCATGTGAAGGTACAGGATCCCAGTAATGAATGTAACTGTATTATAGACCTAGATTGTACCAATAAACTCAATAAAAAGAAAAAAACAACAAAAAAATGGACATTTAGCTTGTTCTCATTTGTGAGCTTTTCATTTATTATCTTCTTACCTAAAATTTTCTGGGTGAATTTGATTGCCTCTTTCAGTGAGTCTGAGTTCACAACTTCATCCAAAATACCCAACTTAAGTGCTTCACCTGCCAAAATATGTCTTCCTAAAACAAATCATAGAACAATATGAGATGAAAACAACATTTCTTTCTCTAATAGAGTTGTCTTGCCAGGATATAAACATTTCATATTAAGTGAAGTAAATGAGAACTCCCCTGACTACTTAAGTAGAAACATTACTGCAGACATAGCCACAAAACTTTAAATTCAAGCTCCAGCTCTAATTTCTACAGTTTGCTTATCCATGGGAAACTATCAGGACTCTAATTTTCTTTATTAATAAATAAGAATAATTATGCTTACCTCAGTAATTCTGAATATTAAGTGAAAATAATATTGTCTCCTTATATTTTGTAAATCCTTATAGAAGCACTTTAATACCTTACAAATTTCTGTGGAATATAAATGATAGTTGATTTCAGATAATAGTAATAAAAATGTTGGCAGCAGAGGAGCAGCAGCCTGGCCTATCCTGTATCTGCCACACACTAGAGGCTGCTAATCAACTGATTAGCAAAAAACATAGTTCTCAAATATGAACACAGTTGAGTGGGTGGAGAAAAAATATCAATTAAGTAGATGCATATCAAGTACCATGGAAATAACCTATGGCAGATATGGTGGTTTTCTGCCCCCTTTTTTGGGTTACCTATCATCTCATTCTTTTCTGGTGAAATCTCTGTTGTGTGACTTTTGGAGCCCTGCTTCCTCCTGGGGAAGTTGAAAAGGAACCAGAGATGATTAGACTACTGGTTCTTCAGTCCTGTGGCTCAAGCACATGTTTGATGAACTCAGTGCTCTAGTGACAGTTCTTAGTGTGGAGTCATTGAGACAAAGCCTCTGCAACAGTTTAAATCTCATTCCACAGGTGGCAACATCCACCATGGAATGTTACCTCACTGAAACTTGATAAGCATTTTGTATCGCCCCTAAATTGTCTGGGCAGTCCTTTACTACCTGTTAATATGGAATCTGATCTGCAAATTCTGATATAGGGATTGGAATCATTAAGGAGGGAAATATTGACACATTGCTTTGCTTTCTTGCCAGCAAAAGCCTGCCTTCTGAAAAGTGATCATCAAATCAGTCTTGTTGACAATAATTTCAGTGTCTTCCTCATTGTTATACAGCATTTTGGATGCCATCTTTGGGATAAAACCTCTAATTCTGGTTCTCAGGAATCCTGCTGGCATTCAAAAGTCACAGGTGTTCACACTAACAGAATTACACTTTGCCTATTTGTGATACCTATCTGAAATAAGCATAAAAAAGAACCTTCAGCTGGTTGGTGATATGTATGTACAACCTAAATCATCAGGATGTGCTTTTTTTTGCAGTATTGAGGATTAAACCCAGGCTTCATACTTGCAGGGTAAGTTTACATTGTAGAGGTCTTTCACTTCCTTAGCTAGGTTAATTTCTAAGTATTTAATTTTTCTTGGTGCTATTATGAATGATATTTTTTCCTAATTTCTCAGTGTTTTCATTATTAGTATACAAGATTGCTCTTGATTTGTGTGTTGATTTTGAATCCCACTATATTACTGCATTTTGTTATTAATTCTAAGAATCTTTTAGTGGATTTTGGGGGTCTTCTACCCATAGGATTATGTTATCTGCAAATAATGATATATAATGATAATTTGGCTTCTTTGTTTCATATATGCACACCATTTATTTCTTTTTTTGCCTAATTGTGCTAACATTTCAAGTAATATGTTGAACAGGAGCAGTGATAGTGGACATCCTTGTCTTGTTCCTGATTTTAGAGGGAAAGATTTCATTTTTTTTTCCATTTAATATGATATAGGTTTTTTTCATAAAAGGCTTTGTCAGATTAATTGTTTCTATAGCTATTTTTTCAGTGCTTTTATCATGAAAGGATGTTGAATTATGTCAAAGGCTTTTTCAGCATCTACTGAGATGATCATATGTGATGGTTTACATTTATTTATTTGCATAAGTCAAACCATCCTTGCATCCCTGGGATCACTAGAATGAAGCCTACTTGACCATGACGTATGATGTTTTTGATGATTCATTGCATTCTGTTTGCCATTATCTTGTTAAGGGTTTTTGTGTCTATTTCTTTAAAGAGACTGTTGTATAGTTCTCTTTTATGGTTGGATTCTTGTTTGGTTTGGGAATCAGGGTAATGCACTGTGGAAATGCAATGTAGGGATGACTATGGGAGTACTCCTTCCCTTTTAATTTCATCAAAAAAAGCTGAGCAATGATGTTAAAGCTTTTCTGAAGTTTTTGTAGAATTCAGCCGTGAATCAACCTGGACCTTAGCATTTCTTAGTTGGTAGATTTTTAAATTACTGCTTCAATATGATTGCCTGTTATTGGATTACTCAGGATTTTAAAATCTGCTTGGCTCAGTTTTGGTAATTTCTACATATGTAGGAATCTATCTATTTTTTCTGAATTCTCCAATTTATAGGCTTACAGGTTTGTGAAATAGTTGTTAATAATATTTTTTTTTTGGCATTGTCTGTTGTGATTTCATTTCTAAATCTGCATTGATTTGGGTCTTTTTTCTCTTTTTCTTGTTAGATTGGCTAATGATCTCTTTTGTTTATTCTTTCAAACAACCAACTCTTCATTTATTTAGTTTTAGTTTTTGTAACCCTGTCTTCTACTTCAGTAGCATTTATAATCCTCATTTAAAAGAACAAAGCCATTTTAATGCATACAGATTCAGATTACTTTCTAATTTCCCTCATCTATAACAGTGTTTTTATTATAGCTTGTTTCAAAACATACAGATTACTATTAGCAACACTGAAACATTTTAGTCTTAGTAATCTTCTACATTCTTAGAAATTATAAAGCATTCCAAAAAGATATTGTTTATACATATTTATCAATATTTTTGTATCAGAAATTAAAACAATTTTAAAAGGTATATATTTTGAATCATTTTAAAATAATAAACTCATATTGCAACATTGTATTCAATGCAATTCAATGTATGCAATTGTATTCAAAATAACTATACAAAGTTTATTATTTTGCTCTTTTTATTGCATGTTCTTAATGATACCATCTAACACCAAGATCCTACTCTTAGTTTTACTCAGAAAAAGACAGTTTGGCAATAAGACTTAGCTAAAAATTACAGCAATCTTACTATGTCTAAGAGCGTTCTAAGCACACAGAATGTATTAATCTTTGCAATCTTGACTACCATGTGGTAGAAACTCATATCCATATATATATGAAAAATCTGAGGAATAGAAATGTACATTTACTAACTCAGGATCTCATAATTATGTTTAGAACAAATAGTTGTACATGTTCTTTTTTCTAAAATTACCTCAACTGAAAGTCTTTTTACATGTCTTACAAAATATGTATATGGTATATCTAGGGTTTAGTGTTATATTATTCACATTCCCAATTGAAAAAGAGAAACTTTCATTTGTACATGATGTCTTAATATTTTGGAAATGAACAATTCAGTCATTTGCACACCAAAATGTGAATATTATAATCTTAGCTCCTGTGGGTAATGAAATTTCTGAACCAGATCTGAACACACATTTCTTATGTGAACCTCAGCATCTATAAATAGTCACTTAAACTATAATGCAACCCCAAATTTGATTAACACTTTGGATACATTTTCCTTTAAAAGACTCTCACATTGGATTTTCATGGAAATTTTGAGGTTTCAGAGAAGGTCTTTCCATTTTTCAGCTGATAAATTTGGTGTTCAAGAAGGTAAAGCATTCTCTTAATATGATGTGGATAGGAGGAGGCTAAGAGAGGACTTTTCTGTATCCTGTACAGTTCCTCGCACTAATCTAGACATTGCTAGCAAGGTTCATACCAACCTGAGGTAATTAAGTCAAGGGCAGCTGGAATTCCAATGAGTCTGGGGAGAAGTTGGGTTCCTCTTGCACCGGGAAGAATCCCTATTGTGACTTCTGGGAAACCAATTTGAGCCTATCAGAGATTGAAAGTAGAAAGATCATTACAGGGAGATAATACCCACATGCAGACAAGAATCCTCTTAGATTTCCTCTACCCTCGAAAAGCATTGTTTCACTGAATTCCTGGAGTTTCCACTGGCCAAATCACTGTATACCTTCTCCTTTAAGTAACAGCATAAGCAGAGCTGTGCTAAGTGTTGATGTTCAAACACATTTCCACTTCCTGGCACATTTTTTCTCTGAAGTTATTGTGACCTGTTGCAAATACCAAAAATAATACCCTCCAGTAAAGCTTTCTGGGGGCTGTGAGAGACATGAAACACAAGAATATGAAACGTACCCCTACAGATTAGGAGAGAATTCCTAGCATGACTTCTGGGAGCTCAACCTGAACCTATTAGAGATTAAAGGTATAAAGGCCTTTATACCTATTATAATGGGTAATGTGTTCAGTTTTCAGACAAAGTTCTGTGGATTTCTTCACTTTCAAAAAACAATATTTCACCGAATGCAGCAAATGTTGCTACAAGGCAAATTAGTGTATGTACTCTCCTTTAACAGCATAGACAGAGTGAAGTCTTCCTGTTCTTCTGGCATATTTTTTTTTCTCTGAGGCTACTATGACCTGTTTCAAACAACAAAAATAATACTCTCCAGTAAAGCTTCCTGGGCTGCTGCAAGAGCCAGGAAGCACCAAAAAAAGTAAAAAGACAATCCCACAGAATGTGTGTGAATATTGGCAAACAATAGATGTGATATAGGACTTTTATGTAGAATGTATAAAGAATTTTGCAAAAGTAGAAGGACAATCATTTAAAATTGGCAAAGAATCTGAATTTATATGTCTCTAAAGAAGATATACAAATAACTAATGAACACACAAAAAGATACTCAATATCATTAGACATCAGTAGGGACTTCAAGTCTAAACCACAATGACAATATCACACCCACTGGAATGAATATAGTCTTTAAAAAGGAGAAAATAACAAGTGATGGAGAGGATGTGAAAACACAGAATTCTCATACAGTGCCAGGAGGAGTGTAAAATGATGCAGGCACTTCAGAAAACAATTTGACAACTCCTCAAAGGTTAAATACAGAGTTAGCATGTGTTCCAGCAGGCTATTCTCAGCTATAAACCCAAGAGCAATTAAAACAGATGCCCACAAAAAGTCTTGTACACAAATTTTCAGAGCATTGTAGTTCATAAAAACTAAAAACAAAGAACACAAACATCCATCAACTAATAAACAGATAAACAAAATAGGGTGTATTCATACAAAGGAATTATTCAGCCGTGGAAAGGAACAGTGACCTGATCTATGTGACAGTGTGGATGAACCTTGAAAATACAATGCTAAGGAAGAGGAGCCAATCATTCATGTGAAATATGCAGTGAAATGAAATATGTACTAAGCCAGTCATTCAAACAAAATTCATTCATATGAAATATGTAGATAGGTAAATCCATCGACACAGGAAGTAGATTAGTGGTTGCCTATCTTTGGAGGAGAAGGATTGGAGGGTTACTGATAGAAGATACTAAGTTTCTTTTGGGGGTGATGAATAACTCCCAAATTGGCTGTGGTAACTGTTGTACAACTGTTATGGCTTGTGTCTAGATGTCTCCCCCAAAGCCTCATGCAGTCACAGGAGGGACTTTTTTCAGAGGTGGCTGGATCTAGAGTATGTAATGCTGGAATTGATTGATAATGCAATCCTAGGATCAAGGGCACTAGGAATAAGGGTGTGAGTGCTGCCCGCCCTGAGTAGCCTGGATAAGATAGATGTAAGGGATAGATAGAGCTGTGATCAACCCTTGTTGCTTTGCTACCTTCTGCCCACCATGAACTGTTTCTCTTCTGTAATACCTGCCTGCCATGCCACCCTGCCTTAGAGCCAGCTGATTATGGACTGAAACTTCTACAAACTGTGAGCTCAATAAACCATTCCCCTTTTAACTTTGGGTGTTGGGTATTTTGTCTCAGCAATGAGAGAAAAATAACTAAGACAACAACTCTGTGAATGTGCTTCTCTTTTGCTATGCTAAACACTTTAAAATGGGTGTATTGCATGGTAGGTAAATTATACCTTAAAAAAGCTCACAGAGGGGGCAAAAAAGACCAGGCCATACCTCAATCCAGACAGGACGGTGAGCTTGAATTCTTACCACATTGCCTTTCCTGCTATTTAAAAGTAGCCAAAGGTCTGTTGGTCATTTACAGTTGTAAGGGTGGGAAGAGGAGGCTACTTAAATGCAGATGGCTGGATACTGAGACTACTTTGCCAACAGCTCTGAAATACCTTGCATATTTTAGCTTGTCTCACGGGAGCTTATTGCAACTCAATCACCACGTGTATTCCTCACTGCTCACCCCCGCCTCCATTTACTTGCTCCCAACTCAGATCTCTACTCATTCTGCAGAAGGTCAGGGTGAGAAGGACACAGAAGAGGTAAACTTCAGACATACATGTGTCCTTATAAACTTTTACTAATATTAAAACATTATAAGGAAATAAATACATTAAGGTACAAGTTGAGTATCCCTTATTTGGACTGCTTACAATTAGAAGTTTTAAAATTTTAATTGTGGAATATTTGAATATACTCAATGAGATCTTGGAAATGACACTAAGTGTAAACAGTATATTCATTGATGTTTCATATGTATTTTACCCAGATTTCCAAAGGTCATTTTATACAATATTTTTAGTATAGCTGTCTTTTGACTTTCACGCGGTGTGCAATTTTCCCCTTGTGGTAGCATATCCACACTTAAAAAGTTTTGGAGTATGGAGCATTTTGGATTTTGGATTTTTGCACTAGGTATCTTCAGGGTTTATCTAGGAAGTTTGAAAATATCATGAGTTTCTAATTATTTTTTTTAAAAGACTTCTGCAGTAAAAGATACATTACCATCATTCCCCCCTTAAAATTATCCCCCTCGTTGTTTTTGCCATTTTCTGAATCAGTTCTGGAAGTCCTCTTGCTGACTCAGTGTCCCAAATTGATTCAAAATGTTTTCTTTTCATAGTCATTTTGACTTTGGGGAAGAACTAGAAATTGCACAGTGCCAGATCCAGTGTATAGGTGGAGGTGGACGCACCATAGTGTTTTATGTGCCTGTATTTCTGATGGATAGTACTCAGCAGCAGCATTCACTATGTCTGTTGTCACACCTCATGAAGGAAGACACTCATAAAATAGGAAAAAGATCAGAATAGAATGGAATTCGACTTTGATGGTGATTTTAGAGCTAAAGACAAGGGAAGACAAGGAGCAGAAGACTCAGAATGGTAGCTGTTCACCCACTAGAATGGAAGTAGTTTCATCTTAGTCACACAGACTACTATGGGGCAGATTAGCATCAGTTCAGGAGATACCCAAGACTTGTTAATCAGCAAGTTAGCCATTTAAAACGATCACCTCTGATGTATTTCCTGCATTTAGGAAAGCATGTCCACCCCAGGCCCACATGGAGCTCGGCTGTTACCTGTGCGTGGGCAATCCTGTAGTGACAGCCCAGGGCCAGCTCCAGTCCCCCTCCTAAGGCCACGCCTTGGATGGCCGCCACCACGGGCTTTCCATATCTCTGAATTTCATCTACTAAAAGTCCCAGTCCTTCAGCAGAGGATGTAGGAGCTCTGAAGCTATGGATATCCGCACCTAAAGGACACAAAGACAAGGAGAAGAGAGTTTTGAGAAAGACTTAGGCTTTCTTGTTAATTTGAAGGGATTTGGTCACCGTCTAGAAGGCTCAAACCTCTTGGGGCCCTGGAGACACAAGAAAAGAACTATTCTGAGAAATAAAGAGCTAAATAAGAGAATAGTCTTCAAATATTTACCAGAAATTCTGTAACCTTTGAAGATCTGTTTTCCCATGCCATAGGTAGCAACTCTATCTAGAGGCAAACTTAAAAGTACAGGGAAGAGGAATAGTTCTCAGCCAAAGACCCTCATTTTGACATTGATTTGGCCCCTCTCAGTTTTTACATGACCTTCTTCATCACAGCAACTTAACCCCATATCTTTGTTAGGAGCACAAGTCATTATAATATAAAATTTCAGGGTAACTGCATAATATTTATAATTTATGTGTTAATCAACTAGCTAAGAATAAACTCTTTATAGGTTTTTATGATTCATAAAAATAAAATATTTCTTGCTCATCCTAATAAAAATAATACAGTTATTTCAGAAAATCTGAAACATGTACAGAGTTATAAGAAACATGATGATCACGCAAACTATTATCACACAGAAATAATACAATATTTTGGCGAATTCTTAGTTTTTCCTCCTATATATTTTTTTGTATGTGTGACCTTGAGTAAGTTTTTGTTTCTATCTCAAATGACTGGTATAAGAATTAAATAAATACTTAATAAATATTTTTAATATTGACCGTATGCTATAAAGTATTTTCATATGATATTACATGGAGTGAATTTTTTCTCATAGCATTATCTCTTATTTGGATCATTAAGCTTGGCACAAAATTAAAAAATTAATCTGTGTTTACCTATTTCTTTTTGCATCCCTTTTCAATCTAGGAACTATATTATTGGGGACTTTTGAAACATTATTGAAACCTTTGTAGTAGACTTTAGTTTTTTTCTGAAAACAATCTTTTTAAAATTTTGGTTTTAGGTTTGTTTTGTTTTTTGGTACCAGGGATTGAACTCAGGTCCTTGTGCTTACGAGGCAGGTGGTGGAACCACTAAGCTAAATCCTTGGCCCTGGTTTTGGTTTTCGAGACAGGGTCTCATTATGTAGTTCAGGCTGGCCTTGAACTCACTATGTAGCCTAGGCTGGCCTTAATCTTGCAGTAATCCTGCCTCAGTTTCCCAAATACTGGAATTACAGGTATGCATCAACCACACTCAGATTTCTAGTTCTTAAGTCAATTTTGTTAAGTTTTATTTGTCTCCTGGCTCATAATATTTTCACTGTGTTTTTCAGTGACAGCAGCATCTGCACTGATAATTTTTGGTAACTCATCAGATGCATTGTTAGTTCTGTGTTTTGTTTTTTATCTTGATCTCTCTATCACTTTAACAGTCTCTTCAAAGAACTAACTTTAACATTATTGTTTCTCTTGATTCACATTTGTTTTCTATGTCATTAATTTCCCTTTATTTCTTACCTTTTTTTTTTTTTTTTGCCAAATTTTATCATATAGATGCTTGGCCCATTTTCAGATTTTTTTCTTTTCTAGTATAGTCTTTTAAATCTATACCTTTCCTGGTTTGTTTTACTTAATTTCATCCCCTCAAGTTTTATGTTTTATGTTTTCACTGTCATCAAGTTCCAAATATTTTCTAAATTCCATTATGATTTCTGTTCTGATTAATAGGTTAAGATATGGATTTAATTTATAGACACATAAAGATTTCCAGATATATTTTTCTTTTAGACTTCTAGTTTAATTGCATTGTCAGGGAATAGATTCTAAATGAAGTGTATTGAGACAAGCATTTTTCCCCCATGGTGTTCGATACTGAACCAGGGGTCTTGAGTACACTAGTCACACACTCCAGTGCTGAGCTCTATCCCAAGCCCAGCACAAGCTTTTATCTTCCAGTGTCTGGTCAATTTTTCTAAGTATAACAGATGTATCTGAAAAGAATGTCTATTTTCCAAAGTTGGTGTGTACCATTCTAGATATTCTCAGTAAGGCTGGTTTGATAAATCTTAATGTGTTTCTAGAAGAACACCATAGTACTTCCATTTACAAACTTAATTCATTCCACAATTCTGGGGAAGATGGCCATGGTTGTGTTCATCACCAGATGGGGAGAACATGAACAGTAGCAAAATTGTGCCAAATACTTCTGTTTGTGAACCAAACTGTTTACAAACAGAAGTGTCTATGAACTGAGGTATTACTATAATTTTTTGAGGCCATGAATTTAATTACATTCTATCTTCTACCTCTTTCTTACAAAACAAACAAACAAACAAACAAGTTCACTGTAATTCTGATCCCCCTTTCTTTGCCCTAAAGACATCAGTTTGTGTAGCCAACCTTAAAATTCCAGACAGAGAGGAAGCCATTTCATAGTTGGTTAATCCTGAGAATATTATTTTAATCTCTGAAGCTCAGCCTTTTGATCTGTAAATGGAGACTGTAGGATTTACTGAGGATTAAAATAATATGTGCCACATTTACTACTAGTGAATGAATAACCTACACAGTACCTCACATAGCAGGCAAGATGAATGCTAATTATTATAGCAATTAACATTTTAATATTTATTGGCATGAGCCCAACAGCTGGCTCTTTTCAGGCTGTCATTAACATACATTAAATACCTCTAGCTACAGGTGAAGCTCTGAGAGGGTGGAAGAGACATGCAGAACAGGTATACAGCAGCAGGTGTCACAACATCAAACCTGGCAGTAGCTGCCCTCCAAAGGCCAACCCAATATAAAACAGACGAAGGCCAGTCTTCTCTGAACTTCTCTTGTGAAGAACCCATCCCTTTCTTCGCAACAGTTTTCCTTTCCGCTGTCTTCTGCCATACCCATACTAAGTTAGAGCCCATGGGGACAGCTACTGCAGTGTCAGTCTCAGTCTATGGCTGGATTCTAGAGCTAGTGAGAGAGGGTTAGATACTAGTTACCTGCACAAAAGTTGTCACCTGCTCCAGAAATCACAATGGCTTTTATTGTGTTGTCCAACGCAGCTTTCTTTAGTCCCTCTCTTATTCCACGGATTACAGACAAACTGAAAGAAATTCATAAAGTAAGTTAGAATTAAGTTTCTACCATCCCAGGGTTTTCCCTTTCTTAATAATGAAAAATGAAACATAGACATAGTGGGTAAAAACCATAGATATTTACCGTTAAAGTTTTCACTCATTTGTTCAACAAATGTATCTGTGGTGAATGAAGCACTGAGTTGATTAAATGAATCCACGAAAGGAATGTTATTTTCCTGCATGCTGCTTTAATTTTGAATACTTAGAATTTGTACTAGCCAGTTTTAAAATATTACTATACATCTCCTCTGTATGGTGCAAGGAGTTACCCAGTAAATGAACACAACTATCAGATAAGGCAATGAAGATGAGTTCTGTACTACAGGTACAAAGAAAGTGATGTAGAGGATCTGAGGAGGACAAGAGTATTTTCCATTGGCCATAATGGCAAAGTAGGAAAAAAGTGGAGGAGAAGCAGTCTACAAGATGTGATGGCTACTAGGCAACTCAAATGTCCATTCCTTTCACCTTCTTCAAAGTATTAAACCATCTGGTTTGTTTTTAGCTGGATGCATAATATTCCAAAATAAGGACTGTATTTCGTACCCTACTTGAAAGTAAGGTTGACCCAAGGCTCTTCCAAGTGGGATGAAAGCATATTTGTTATATAGTTTTCTGGAAGAGTCTTCAAAGGACGGGGTGTGCTTTTGCCTTTTTCATTCCTCCTTACTCCTGGCAGAAATACAGACATGATAGCTAGACTGGGAGGAACCATCTTGGACTTGAAGGTAGGAGCTATTTATTCAGATGGCAGAGCAAAACAGACAGAATGGGGTCCCTGATGATTGTGGGGCAGCCATACAATTCCAAGACACTGCTGTGAGAGAAATTAATGTTTTACAGTTGGGTTTTGTAGGGTGTTTTTTTGTTTGTTTTTTTTTTGTACCAGTGATCAAACTCAGGCCCTTGCACTTGCAAGGCAGGTGGTAGAAACCACTGAGCCAAATCCCCAGCTTAATGTTTTACAGTTTAACTCATTATTTCTCTGAGGTTTGGAGGCTTGTTTTTGCCGAACCTAATCCTGCCTAAGTTAGGAGGTAAAGACAAGGTCGAGGAAAGACAGCACCTTCAACAGTAGATTTTACTGTTTCTGTATGTGAGGGTTTCATCCACAGAAGAGATGGCTAAAAGCAGTATCAAATAAGTGTACAGTAGACAAAGAGAGCTGAGGGCAGTTTCTCCAAATATGTCTTCATTTAAGAAGTAGGAGAGGCTCAGCACAGTGACCTAGCAGCAAGGGAACTCAAGTCACAAAGACAAAAGAGAAGAGAATTTGCCAAGAAGCAGGAGACCAATAGGAACAAGGGAGGCTTTAAGAAAACCAGGGAAGAAGCTGAGCCTGGTGGTCCACGCGGGCAAACCCAGGCAGAAGGATCGCTGCAAGTTTGAGGCCAGCCTGACATACAGGGTGAGTTCAAGGCCAGCCTGGACTACACAGGGAGAGCTTGTCTCAAAAAAAGAAGAAAAAAAAGAAAACAAGAGGAGAGAAAGGAAGAAAAGAAAGCCAGTAAAGGAATGTTTAAAGGAAAAATGATAGAAGTAGTATGAGTAGAAAATTGGAGCTGGGAAAATCATTCCTCTTCACCCACTAGAGTTTGGGCAAAGGTAAAAAATAAAATAACAAAGACCCAGGAAATCTTTTACGCTGTAGTGCTGTAGTTAAGAGCACGTAAGAGGCACCCAAGCTGGGGTGCACTTCCTTTAAAAATCCCAAAGCCTGATTTATCTGTGCTGTGTTTTTTATTTCTCTGTCACTCCAACACCACTTTTCTGTTTGTGTCACCTTTCTTGTTTCTGCTGGCACAGACTTGCCCTGAGCACATCTTCCGTTGATCTCCAATGAATGTGGCTTCTTTTCATTGACCCTTTTGGTGTACACTTGCAGTTCACTGCTTGCTGGACACAAGAACCTGAAATCTATCTGTTGGATCCACCACATAGTAACAGAAGCAGACTACAATCAGTTTTGCCTTAAAATTCTGAATCTTCTAGATTAAATCTGAATTCCTTAGTAGGATAAAAAAGGGTTGAAAACAACTGTAAAACAAAACAGAGAAGAACAAACTACTGTAAAAGTCACAAAAGTGTAAATAAGGATCAAAATATGTAATTAATATCTGTAATAGGAAGAAAAGGTCTAAAAGAGTAGAGGAAGTGGGAGGGGTAGGGGGAAGGTAAAAAGGGGAAAGAAAAAATGTGAAAAGGAAAAACATGGAAACAGTGTCTTTGTAAACAGGGAAGGGTGGAGGGGGTGAAGGGAGGGCTGGGGAATGGGGAAGAATAAGAACCAAGATAAGTCTTGTAAAGGTACAAGATCCCAATGATGAAGGTAACTGTCTTGTATACCTAAATTATACCAATAAAGTTCATAAAGATTTTTTAAAAGTCACATCGCTAAGACCAGAAACTAAGACATAAATTCTTAAGAAATAGAGGAAATACTTGTGCTGTGTATAATTCCCTTTCACCTAGTTACTTTTCACATTTTAACCTGCAGAAAGTCAAACAAGACCTCTTGCTTTCAACTGGTTAATTAGAATCTAAATCGATCATGAAAAACAGATTCTCAAACATTACATAATATTGAGAGGAAGGATTACACAACATCTGTGAATTGTTCCTGAATCTCTGCCATCCCCAGGATAGCCAGACCCTTTATGTTATGGTCTATTACATGAAATAGTAGGAAAAAGTATATATGCATATCTTATGCATATCATTTCTGAGTATTTATAACAAATTAGCATAAATGCTATATAGTAATTATAAGAAGAAAAAGACTATATATTCAAGACACAACCATCCCACATTTCCATCATTTTACCTACATTTTCCATTATATCTACCAGTTGTTAGGGTGGATATGAACCCAGGGGTACAGAGGACAATTCTGTTGCCTTCTGAGTACCAAGTAGCTACAGAATGACTCCAGATTTCCTCCATCAGTAACACCGAGTACAAGAGAAGGGTTTTTCCCATTCTAACCAGCTCTTTGTGTTTTATTCACCACACTCAAACAGGAAACTTTAGTTTCAGTTATACACTTGTATGTATGTATGAGTCTTCATCTCTTACGTAAAACATGAAGTTTCTAACTCTGTAAATTACAGTTTTTAAAAAGCGTGAAAGCCGCTATTCTGGACACAGGCTTAGTAATCAGCCATGGAAAGAGGGATGATAGCATTCACCTGAATGGAAGGAAACGTGACCGGCTAAACTATCAATAAAGGCTTTAAGCTGTTGTTGGGGTTAAAAAATGAAAATAAGCATATCTCTATGAGCTATGAAAAGATAACCTCCCAAGAAAATTAGAAATATGAAGAGGAAGGAATGACAGAAGTGTACCTATGAAGCAATTTTTTTAAAAATTGAGGGACCTGTTGTGTTTGAACTGGGATATAGTCCAACCGATTTTAGTACACAGAGTAAATCTTAAGCAACAACGAACTACTGTAAGAGTCATACTGTCAAGACCAGCAACTCTGAGACAAAATGTTAGGGAGAGAAGGAGCCAACTGTCTACATGCATAATAATTACCTTTCATCTAGTCACTTTTCACCTCATAACTTAGGAATATCAAGCAAAATTCTTGCTTTTGACTAGTTGATTAGAAATCAAGTCTCATCATGAAAAAAGACTCAGAATCATGACATTATAAGAAATCTAAAAGGCATACACAGTCATTCCTCCGTCTGTAGGAAACTGGTTCCAAGACCTTCTATTTTCCCCACTGGGATACCAGAATTCTTATATTCTCTATTCTGTGAAATAGTAGAGTATTCGCATATAACTGATCCTTTTTGATAGCTTTTTTTTTAGTGAAACTTCATCAAAGCATTGTGTGGCTTCTGACCATTATTTTTCAAACAAAGGACTAGAAGAGATTGAAAGTAGAATATGCTAAACTATATAACATGTAAGACTATGTGTGATTTCAGAAAAGTTTTTAGCTATGCACATACATGTATGTATATGTCTTGAGTTGTCACATAAAATACAGTTTCTTACTATTTGGATTACAGTTTGTTTATTTTTAAAGTGTGCAAACCATTGTTTTGTGAGACAAGCCTGGTAATCAGTCACATCCTTCACTTACAAAGAGGGTTAACATTCATCTGGATAGAAGGAAGTAGGGCTGGAAAAACTAGCAATATAGGAGGTAAAATGGAAGATAAAGTATTTTTTTAAATCTCTTAGCTAGGAAGAGTTAACTACATAAAATTAAAATAGGAAGGTAAAAGGGAAAGAAGGGAAAACAAACCAAAAAAAAAGCCTAGTGAACTTGATGAAGACAGGGGTATACACCCTACTTAAAATGTTTAGAGCAAGACATACTGAAGGGACAGGGGACCGTGTGCTTCACATGGAGAAGGTCTTCCTAGTCTTCCCATGAAGCTGAAGCAGATCCTGAGCATCAAGGCCTGCAGGTGGGAGCTTGCAACAGGCCTTCTGACTAATAGGAATGAGGATGTCTAACGAGGTAAATGCCAGTTCACACTCTCCGTCTCACTTAATCCTCACAGCTTTCTGAGGTAGGTAGACTGCTCAGGATGTGGTGGAAGAGCAAGTCACATGCCAGAAACTTTTAAATTCATTATCACAAAATATTGTTAGTTGGTTATTGGACTTCGGAACAGTTTTTTCCTAAGGTCTTGGTGGCCATGGTTCCCATTAGGAGCAGAGGCCACAGCCGATCCCTAATCTAGTGATTCTGCCAGAAACTTTTAAATTCATTATCACAAAATATTGTTAGTTGGTTATTGGACTTCGGAACAGTTTTTTCCTAAGGTCTTGGTGGCCATGGTTCCCATTAGGAGCAGAGGCCACAGCCGATCCCCTAATGTCTAGTGATTCCAATCAGTATACAGACAGACCAGAACTGATACAGAATTACACTGCTTATGTTTCTCTTTTTTAAAACCAACCTCAATAATGGGCTAGGGTGCAGCTGAGACGTAGAGCACTTGCCTTGCATGTGTAAAGCACTGGTCTCAAACTCAAGTATACCTCCATCTCACCCCCCGCAAAAAACCCAACATACAGGATATTTTACATTTCTCTCTTGGAGTGGCAAATCCTTCTATCCCTGTAATTATTGCATTAGTAAAGGCACTAATTCATATATAATATTGTACTAGAGATAAAATGAAATTTGATAAAGGGATAAAGTCAGTTCATATTAGCATGTCTGGGGCAGGGATTTACCTTAGTGGTTCTGCCAAGGTCCTGAGTTTGATCTCCAGTACCAAAAAAAATAAAATAAGCAGGTCTCCCTCCTTTCAGTTTCTTTTCACTCCGGTAGCATGTGATAAATTTTTTAATTAAAATTCTTTCTGTCTAGGTTACATAAATTCTCTATAGATTATAATTTCCATTAATCTGAGTCTGTAAGTGGGTGGCTCTTTCCAAGGCTGCCACGGAAATATATTCAGAGACATGGACAGACAGCAGCAACCTACCTTCATTAATTTTCCAAAAAGACTGCATTGACCTCACTTTTAAAAGAAATTCTGGCTCTCTTCCTCTTGGAAAAATTGCTGCCTAGTGGGCCCTACTGGCAGCCATGCGTAGATGAACCCTGGTGCCCCCAGGGAGACCTACACCCAGACATGACCTAGGCAGTGCTCCAGGAGAAGCTCAGCCCAGTAGGCCAATCCTCTCCATTCAGGTCTACAAGAACATGATCACATGCTGCTCCTTAGGCTGTGTGTAGTGAACTTCAGCAGGAGGAAATGGAGCATGTTTTGGACACCATGGGTTTTGATGTTATAAAGGGCAGGCCAGTTTGCATCGTGTGGTTTGGTAGTATCCATCGCTTCGCCAAAGTGAAGCAGGTAAATTCATTAGAAATTTAGATAAGTCCCCTGATAATAAAGCACTATGTGATGCATTTTCTGCTTTTGTTAACGTCCTTCCTTGTAAGATAGTTATGATGAAAATGGTTCCAAGAGCTATGGATTTGGATGTTTTGAGACACAGGAAGTAGCTGAAAGAGCCATTGAAAAAATGAATGCTTCTAAAATGATTGCAAAGTATTTGTTGAATGAGTTAAGCCTCATTAAAAAATAAGCAGAACTTGGAGCAAGGGCAAAAGAGTTCACTAATGTTTACATCAAGAATTTGGAAAAGATATGGATGATGAGCACTTTAAAGTATCTCTTTGGCAAGTTTGGACCTGCTTGAGGTCTGAAAGTAATGACCAGTGAAAATGGAAAATCCAGAATATTTGGATTTGAAAGCTTTGAGAGACACGAAGATGAACAGAAAGCTGTGGGTGAGATGAATAGCAAGGAGCTCAGTGGAAAACAAACTTATACATTGGTCAAGTTCAGAAAAAAAGTGGATCGCCAGATGGAACTTAAACACAAATTTGAACAGATAAAGCAAGATAGGATCGCCAGCTACCAGGGTGTTAACCTTGACATGAAAAATATTGGTGATGGTATTGATGAACATCTCCAGAAAGAGTTTTCTCTGTTTGGTACAATCACTGGTGGAAATGTTGTACCAGAGGGTGGTTGCAGCAAAGGGTTTGGTTTTGTATGTTTCTCTTCTCCAGAAGAAGCCACTAAAACAGTTACGGAAATGAACAGTAGAATTGTGGCCACCAAGCCACTGTATGTACCTTTAGCTTAGCACAAAGAAGGGCGGCCACCAGGCTCAGCTCAGTAACCAGTGTATGCATGGAATGGCAAGAGAACAAGCTGTGCTCAATCCCATCATCAACCCCTACGAGCCAGCACCTCCTTCAGGTTGCTTCATGGCAGCTCTCTCCCATTCTCAGAGCAGTGCTGCAGACTGTCCTCCTAGTCAAATACTCAACCAAGACCAAGTCCTCGCTGGAGTGCTCAGGATGCCGGAACTCATCCATTCCAGAATACACCTGGTGCTATCTGCCCAGCCATTCCTAGACCACCACTTAGTACTCTGAAACCAGCTACTCCACAGGTTCCACAAATCAACACAGACAACAATCCCACATTCTGCAGCTGCTGCTGCTACTACTCCTGCGGTCTGCATCATTCCTCAGTACAAATGTGCTGTGGCTGTCCACAGCCCTCAGCAGCATCTTAATGCACAACCACAGGTTACCATGCAACAGCCTGCTGTTCATGTACAAGGTCAGGAACCTTTGACTGCATCCACAGGGCCACACCACCCCCAAGAGCAAAAGCAAACATTGGGTAAAGCTCTGTTTCCACTTCCTCAAGCCACACATCCTACTCTTGCTAGTAAAATCACTGGCATGTTGTTCAATATTGATAATTCAGAACATCTGCACACTCTTGGGTCTCTGGAATCCCCATTCTAAGGCTTTTGGGGGGGGGCGGGTGCCAGCGATTGAGCTCTGGTCCTTGTGCTTTTGAAGCAGGTGATGGAACCACTGAGCTAAATTCCTGGCCCTCCATTCTAAGGCTGATGAAACCGTAGCTGTACAAGCCCACCAAGCTAGGAGGCTGCCTCGAAAGCAGTTAATGGTATCACTGGTTGCTAGCTGTTTAAAATTGATCAGGGACCACAAAAAGAAACTCCTGCTTCACTGAAGAAGGATATCTAAACACTGAAAAACTTTAAGTATGAAAATATTGCAAAATATAAAATAGATAAAAAGGAAACTTTGAACCTTGTGTACCAAGCTAATGCTAGGTCTAGCAAAAAATGTCAGTCATAGATTACCTGATTTAAAGGTTGGGAAAAAATCCTCACAAGAATAGTAAAATATAAAAACAAATTCATATTTTAGAGGTCCTGGGAGAAGACTTTTCAGCAAAGTACAAAAATTTAAAGCAGCCATTTCTTTAATCTTGTAATTTTTCAGTGTAGAAGAGCTCAGGATGTCAGTTCTGTTTTAAGTAGCAGAACTGATAACTGAAACAACTTGGATTATAAAATTCTTGCTTTAATACAAATTCCTTGAATAGTGAACTGTTTAATAGGCTTCTTCAGACATGGATCCCCTAGGAAAGCATACAGGATCTGAAATTTAGAACAAATCAGGAAAAATAATTTTGCATTTCTGGTCAAGGGACAATTCTGCTTTATTCTTTGCACTGGAATTCAGTGGGATTTATTTATTTGCAGTGCTGGGGGTGAACTCGGAGCCACATGAATGAAAGGCAAACACTGTACCTTTTAGCTACACCTCCAGTCCCTTACTTTATTTTAAATACATGTTTAACCACTTTATGGTCTGATTCCTAAAGCATTTGGCCATAAATCAACAGAGCAGCACGCATTCAAGACTGGTGCTTGAGGCTGGATCAAGGTCCAGGCTTGTACTAAGACCTTTGGATCTGAAAGTTCTGAGAAGCCAAGTACCAAACAAGCAAAGAGTTCCACACGAAAATACCATCCACAGACCCTGCTTCTCCACTCATTAGCCATCACTCAGCCTCTGCTTCCTGACCAGTCCAAAGCTGTCTTCCCCAAACAGTTGAAGATCTCATGCACACCCATGTTTATAGTAATACAACTTATAACGCTAAGTTATATATAGAAGTAGCCTCTATGTCCCTCAGCAGATGAGTAGATAAAGAAAAAGTGGTATTTACACACCAAGGAGTCTTATTCTGCCATAAAAGAGGATAAACTTGAGTTACTTATAGGAAAATGGATGCACCTTGCGACTGCAGTGTTAAGTGAAATACAACAGGCACACAAGCTTAAATATCACGTGGTTTCTCTTCTATGAGAATCCCAAATTATAAATTAAAGCAAAATAAAAGGCAGATAGTAGGAAGTAGGGAGATCGATCTTTGTCAAATGGGAAGGGGGTCAAGAGATGGAGGGAGAGGGGAGAAAGCTACCAACTACACACCAGAAGTGTAAACATTATGTACTGCAAACATGTACTAATAAAAAATATTAAAATTAAGGAAGAAAGGAGAGGCCCTGGCCTAAACCAGTTGCCTCATCTAGTAGCGTCTTCAGTTGCAACCAGCAGAGGGAGCCAGAGCCACCGAGTCCAGCAAAACCGCAAATACCCGCAGCTGCACCGAGGGACCCAGCCTTTTACCTGATCGTGTTTACCGGCGGGTTTCGGAGGCGGATCAGCGCCAGCGAGTGGGACAGCCGCAGGTACTCAGCCATCTTTCTCTGTCACGGTGGCGCCGCTGTTGTTTGCCCGGAGGCTCAGCCACTTTTCCGGGTGCAGTCAGGAGGGGCGGGGTCCTCTGGGCCAATCGGAGCCGGGCTCCGCTTCCCCGACTCCACCTCGCCCCCTCCTCTCCTCTTCCACCCGGGCTCCTGTCCAGGGTGCCAGCCCCGCGCTCCTCCTCTAGGTTACCTTCCACCTAGATTACCTTCCTCTAGATTACCACAGACCTTCTCAGAGGCGACCCTGGAAAACGGGCGGAAATGACTTGCTGCTTTGCGACTCCCGGGAACAGAGACGGCAGCTTCTTGGGACAAGTTCTGGGTTCGTGGAGTCGGGCAGCATTCATCCTCGGGACCCTTGTGGACAGGGTCACAAGTTAAGCCCCAATAGTTATGTCAGATGATCCACGTCTGAAGCACACAAACCAAACCTCATGCGCTTCGCCCAGAGGAGGGCGGTGCCAACATCAACCAAGTTTTAACGAAACAGTCTTCTTCAATGTCCTACAATATATGGCACCCTGAAGCACTTATGAGCTCCTTGTCTACCCAATTCTGCTCTCTTTCTTCTTTTGTCCCACCTATGGGTTGGGATTTCTAGTCCTTTCACTGATCCATGAACTGAGCACCTATTCTGCGCAGAACTACATTAGAGACTAAAAACAAGCAAGACCCCGCCCCTTCCCTCCAAAAGTTCAGGTGGGATGAGGTTCTTCTAAATGTGAACGGCCTCCCGTGGTTCTCATACTCCACTGGGAGGTCAGAAGGCAGTCTGGAAGTTTCTAAGAAAAAAATATACGCCAGGTGTGCTGGCACACACCTGTGATCTCAGCACTTGGGAGGCTGAGGCAGGAGGATCACCATGAGTTCCACCCCAGCCTGGACTACATAGTTCAAGGACAGCCTTGAGACCCTGTCGGGGGGGGGGGTGTATATATAAATAATATATATATTATATACATAAATATATAATATATATATATATGGAAACTTTCTTTGCTGATGTTTTACAAATTTTAATGACTAAGGATTATCTGCATTATTACTTTTTACCTCTTGAAAATAAAAACAGGTTCCCACCACTAGAAAAGTACTGATTACCTGAAGACTGGTGACCAGCAGCCGTCAGAAGCCACTCAACTAAGCCAAGGACAGGGACTTCAGTGATCCAAATTAATGCTCAGAGATGGACAATCACCAGCACCCCAATGCATACACCTTTGCAATGCATCCTGCCAATTGCCAGGAGCAGCCTCATTGCAGCAACAGGCTGCATAGGTTTTACCAGACTCCATCTAATGCCTCTGAACTCTAAACTCCAGCTTGCACAAAAATCTCTGATATCAACACTTTTTTCTGCTTGTAGAGACTGTGCATGACCAGTCCAGTTCTCCCTTCCTACAAGAAGCAATAAATTGAACTCTTTCCTTCAGGTACTGATGTAGGGGAACAGCTCTGCCATGGCATCCTAATAGGCGGACCATCTCCACCAAGAACAAAAAGACAAGGCCGAACAGCTGTGAAGGGCCTGGAATTCCTTGGGAGCAGGGGCAGACAATAAACATGGCATGGAGCTGTCTTGAGACACTCTGCTCTTTGTAACCTTCTGTTCTCTGATTCTACTTTAATTTTTAGGAACTGTAAATTCAGTCTTCCTTTAATGGAACATTAAATACGTAAAGAAGCAAACAAGTCCACCCAAAGCTGCCCTTCTCAGGCCCTTTCCCAGGTACTAATGTTTCTCACATGATGAGGCATTTTTAGTTGTTGGTGCTTCTTCAGGAAACTCCTCCAACTATCAGTGGGCCCTTTACCTAGCATCCACTTCCTGTGTTCTGTCAGCAATCTGGTTTTATTCAGGTTGCCTTAATTCATGTTTGTTCTTTCCTTTTCCTTAACCATAATTACCTTTTTTTCTTTTAAATTTCAAGTAATGTGCTCTGTTTTAATAGAGTAATTAATTTTTATTGATGTAAACTTACATACCATAGAATTCACTTTAAAGTGTACAATTCAGTGATATTTTAGTATAAGCAAACATCCCAATTAATTTTACATTTCAAGACCTCCAAAAATAAATCCCAGCTGGTCATGGTGGCACAAGCCTGTAATCCTAGCACTCTGTGAGTTCAAGACCAGCCTGGGCTACATAGTGAGTTCCAGGTTAAGTCTCAGCTACATAGTGAGACCCTGTCTCAAAAAACAAAACAAAACAAAAAATAAATAAATAAATCCCATACCCATGAGCGAGTCACTACACACCTTTCTTGCTATCTTCATGCAACCATTAATCTTCTCTAACAGAGACACCATTTTTTGTGGATTTGCCTATTCTAGATATTTTATTTTATGGATATATAATTGGAATCAGAAGATATGTAGCCCTTTGTGCCTGGCTACTTTCACTCAGTATAATGTTTTCAAGTTTCATCCATGTGGTAGCATCCACTAGTGCTTCATTCCCTTTTCTGGCTAAGTAATATTTCATTATGCAAATAAACTGCACTCACTATGTTTATCCATTCACCCATTGATGGTAGTTGAGTAGTTTTTTTTGGCTATTGTGAATAATCCTGCTACAAACATTTCATGTACACATTTATGCATGAACTATATTTTTAATTATTTCAGGTATTTCTCTAACTATAATCAATGCATCTATATTTAACTTTTTGAGGAACTGTAGATGCCCTAAATTGGTAAGTTTAAAATATAAAACCATCTCATGAAATGTTGGAACAACTAATTAAGTAGACAATTTATGAAAAGGATGCTACACTTGTAGAAGGAATGGCAAATGACACACACACACATACACAGAGGCACAGAATGGAAATAAAATAATAAAATAATAAAAGGTTTATTTTGTTGGCAAAGGGATGATCACACTAAAAGCAGTGCAATCCTGTACTGGGTTGCAGCTTCTTCTTTTATAGGTTTCACAGCTATGATCACATTCAGGTGGTTACATTTTATTTCCTCAGTTCACATTACCTGTGTACAAATTACTGTAACAAGACAGTTAACTTTAACCCAGACATAACAATTCCTTGTAGTTAGGGAGTTTACTTTAAGATTTGTCTAGCTATGTATTCTGGTGCACAGGAAGGGGGTGTTCAAGGTCAGGGATGAGGCCAGATGTCCCACTTCATGGTCAATGCCTCTGGTGTCTGTTAATTTTGAACTAAACAAAGCAGATTGCTGTTAGAGACATGAGAAGTCATTTTACATTTTCCTAACATTTTATAGGTTTTTAGATTATTTACAAAATTTGTATCACACATATCAGAAATTACACTGTGTTCACCAAGGACAAGATAAGTATGTTTTATGTCATCGTTTGAGAGGTTTAATGCATCCGAAGACCAGAAAAGTTTTGTGTTGTGATTGCTGAGAAGGATATCACAACATCAGATAGTGGAACCTAGTGGATGTGATGCTGGTTATTTGATAACCATGTTTTATGAGTACATATTTGACTGATCACAGTGTTACTGAGTAGTTATATGTGCCAGGTACTGCTAACAAAATGTGAGCAATGGCACTTGCCTTTGTATTGCTTACACAATAGTTCTTAACTGAGGGATGTGTAAAAAGAAGAATACATTTTGAAAATGCACACATCCAACACTTACCTCTAGGAGATTCTGACGCTGGTGGATCTGGCAGTTTAAGAAAGCTCCCCGGGGAGTTCTAAAGCATAACCTTGCTAAGAAACTCTCAGGCGGGAAGCTTTTTGGTGCTATTCTTGACTTCACTTTGCCTTGAACTACATCATTTTCTAAGCTGAGAAACTAATAATGTCAGAATGATTTCAGATATATGTATAATATAATTGCTCAAGTTTTTAATAGCATTAAAAGCAGGAAGCTGTCAAGGAAATTGCCTGCTATTGAAATTAACAGATTGATACAGCTAGATTCTACATGAGTTTGTATCTGCATTAGTGATCATAAATACTCCAATTTTCTCCCCTCCCTGTCCATGGTAGGATTACATTTGCCTATCTACTTAAAGTCAGTCAGCTCATGTGGCACCATTGTGGCCAATAAAACGTTGACAGGAGAGACTAAAAATCAATCCATGCATCACTAGATTGTTTCTTTTGGCTTGGCTAATAGCAATGATTCAGGTAATAGTTGCATGGTCAGCCTGGTTTCTCAAGTGACTCCACTTGAACAGAGCTTCCCTGCAGAGTTCAGTGGTCTTATAGCATAAATAAGAATACAGCATGAATAAGAGTTGCTTTAAGACACTGAGTTACTGATTCAGGACTCTAGAGTGAGTTTATGACAGCATGAAATTTAATGTAAGTTGCTGTGCTAATGTTGAAAAGATAAAAATTTTACAGTCTAGAGGGTCTGGTCCAGAGATTAATGTATATTTTTCTCTTGTCCAGCCTGAGGATTGCCTTGGAATTGGTGAATGTGGGTCTATACCTCTTGAGGGTGACGTCAATGTGAATTACTGTAGCCATCATGTCACTATCAGGAAAGGTGACCTTAGTAAGTGAAAGCAGATACTACTGAAGGCCAAAGACAGAAAAAATGTTAGACACGGTGCTGCATGCCTATAATCCTAGCACTGTGGGAAGGTGAGGCAGGATTGCAAGTTTAAACCAAGCCTAGGCAACTCAGTGACTTAGTGAGACTGTCTCAAAATTAAAAAGGAATAGGGAGGTAGCTTAGTGATAAGGCCCTGAGTTGAACCCCCAGTACCAAAAGGGGGGCAGGTCCTGGATGATATTGAGTTGCTAGAGTAACCAATCTTGATGCCTGTTGTAACATTTATAATAGAAGTCAATATATCCCATTAATGTGTAGGCCAATTTATGTTGTATTCTGTGGAAAATGCAGAGATGTACTCTCTGGACCCCTTTCAACAAATCACTTACTGCCCAGCTACAAGCAGTTCTGAGCTCTCAGCTTCTTCAAAGTGTCCCTCAGCTGCAGACAACCACCTTGCTTGAGCACGTACCCTTCCAGGGGCAGAACGCATCCAGCACAACAGGCTGGCCATTTGATCCTGACAAGGGTACTCCATAGGATCTACTTGCTCTAGAACTTCCTCCTGGGGAACCTGAAGACTCTTCAGATCTATACTGCAGTTTGACATCTTCCTCTCAACAAACCTGCTTCCTCTTTATTCATAATAAAAAAATATTTTCCCACCCCCACTGTCTTGTGGAAATTCAAACTATGATAAGCTTTCTGCTGTGTCAGGAAAAAGCATCCTGAGATTCAGTGGGATAGTTTGAACTCAGTGTTGTCTAAGAGAAGTGCACTTATGTTCTTTCTGATTTTAACTTTGTATTATGGAAAATATGTATATAGAAAATAAAGAGATGGATGTAATGAAACAATGTCAATAAATGACCAGTGTTTATTATCTATTAATCTCCTACATTAATTTAAAATAAGTCCTAGACATTACATTATTCCATTCATTAACACTACAGTGTACTGATGTTTGCTTTGAGATGCAGTACAATGCCATCTTTTTTCTCCATTCTTTTCCAAGTACAACTTTCTATATATTATTTCATCTTTTCTTCCTTTTTCCACCAACATAGCTTTAAAAAGAAAGGTTTTAATGGGGAAAAGGGGAGGAAGAGTAGGAAGAAGGAATACAAGATCCCAGAATGAATCTTGGAATCCGTTCACTCTTTTACTCATTCTACAAACATTTTAGACCTATCATCTGCCAAAGTCTTGGAATGCACAATTGTCATCACCATAGGCAGTTGTTCAGATAGATAGTACCATGTACAATGTCATCTTTGGTCAGATTAACCAGGGAAAGGAGAGTGGGAAAGGGAAAGGGATAGAAAGAGGGAGAGGGAGAGGGAAAGGGAGAAGGAGGGAGGGAAAGAAAGGAAAAGGAGAGAGGGACACAGAAAAGGGGAGGGGAGGGAAGGAGGAGTCACCCACTGCCATCTAGTGGTCACGTGGTATCATGCATTTCTTCCACTAAACAAAATACAGGGTTTGTCCAAGAAAGACTTAGAGGAAATTTAGTCCCCCGAGAAGGTGGAGTGATTGTCATATGACTAGTTAATGGAGATTTATCTGAAGGAAATAGATCATATCGTTTAGTACAGGCTAGCGAGGTCAAAATGTGCAGGACAGATTAGCAAGCTGGAGACCCATGAGAGCTGCAGTTCAAGTTCAAAGGTTGTGTGGAGAAGTCCCATTTACTCCAGGTTTTACCTCAGCCTTTTTACTCTTAAAGCCACCAACTTTACCCAGAGTCTACTGATTGGGTCCATATGCAAAGTCTGCCAGGAGAGGAGGGCTACTGTTTGAAATGAAAAATGCTGTTTGGGAGGAACCCAGCAATGGCCACACCAGGACATTCAAATAATCACCAGAATTATGTGGCATCCATAAGGTTATTTAGCCCTTATCTCTCCTGGTCTTTTTTTCTATCCTTTTGTATTTGAGACTGAAGGTCTTGAAAATAAATATGCTCTTACTCTAACATTGAGATAGATTTGGGGAACAGGACTGATGATGAATATTTTAAAGCTCCACTTCTGGACCCAGCACTGCCACTAACTGTCTGACTTTTTGTTGCTTCTCTGGATCCAGTTTTCCTTAGTTACAAAGGAAAGAGATTGACCATATTGTCTCTAAAGTTCATTTCATTTATCATTCTGTGAATTTTCTGTCCGAAGGATCAATCTTTAAGTGGTCCTCCCATCTCCTCCTTCTCCTCCTTTTCATAAATAATTTATTGAGTACCTCCACCTCTCGAGGGCAGGGCATGGGTTATATTCATTTTTTGCCCCAGTACCTCACACAATAAGCAAGTGCTTTCAAGGGGGGTTAAAGTTGGCTCCTATAAGCGGTTCGATGTCCGGAGAAGCTCATATCTCTGAAGGGGAGGATACCAGAAACCATCATTTCATCACCGAATTAAAAACTGGTTCCAGAATTCCTTCCACTTATATGTTCCAGTGGGGAGCAAGAGTTCATGAGAGAGCAAAATGTATCAGTTAATACTCACTGAACGTATACCTCCTGATACAGCAGCCCTGGATTAACATCATCAAATTAGCGTAATACCTAGGTTGTGGGTACTAGTACTATTGTTTCGCATTTCAAACAGGCACAGAGAGGTTAAATAACTTGCCTAACTCCCACCGTTAGAATGAGGAAAGTAGCATTGGAACCAGACAGTTGCAACCTCAGAACCTGCATTCCGAAGGACGCCTCTGGACTGAGGGTTCAGGAAAACCACAAGAAAAATCTTGTGAGCGCCCCCAGTGGCTGGCCTAATTTTGTAGTTCAAGCAAAGGAAAGTGGCTGTAGAAAGGAAAGCTGTAGTAGCTGACACAAAACTTTGTGAGAGCACTTTTCAAAGATAACAGAAACACACAAAGAAGACCTGGCGCACCTGGGGGATAAGGAAGAACCCAGGAATAGAGCGGAAGTAACGTCACCCAGCGGGCGTTACACTCTCAGGTGGCCCTCAGGATCCGACAAGTTCAGGACGGAAGTGACGCAACGGAAGTTATATCTGGAGGCGGCACCTGGTGGCGAGCGTGTTGTGATGGGAGGGGCGCACGGTCTGTGGCATGCTGGGAGCCTTGGATCCCTGGCAGGTAAGCTGCCGGCCTGACTGGAACACGGGTGGAGCTGGGACCGATGGCCAGGGTTGCTGGCCGCGAATTGGGGCGGAGAGAGGTGGCTCCCACAATAGGTGGTGACTGGAGGGAGGCTTCCTGGCTCGAGACTCCTTGAGGGGATAGGGATGCGGGGAACTCTTGAGAACCAGGTGTGGGGGTCGAGGACTGTCAGGAAATACAGTCTTCTGGTCTTGGAATCCGTCGCTTCTGGCTGTGGGTTGTGGTGGAGAGAACGAGATCTGAGCTGAGCTCACTTCTCACCCACCCCAGCCCGTTATATGGAAGCTTCGGCTTTCTCGTCTCTTAATCTGTAGACTGACTGTACCTTGCCGCTGTCAGGAGTTTTTTAGACGCTGTCAGGAAGGAATGAATGAGTTAATACAAGAAGCCTACTGTGGCTTAGCGGGGGAACTTCTCTCACATCAGTATCCCTGCCTCTGTGACTCCAGTTTCGGTTTGTGCTTGTATAGGGGAGATTCAGGACGGGGGTGCGTGCGTGCGTGCGTGTGTGTGTGTGTGTTACAGTTAACGAACTTTACAAATGTGTATTAACAGTTTTCTCTGGGTGGTCAGCATAAGGCGATTACTATATTTGATTTTTTTCAGGTTCTTTTATACTGTTGTGGGAAGAACGTCTAAAAGGGGAGTGATATTAGGGAGGTCATCAAAGGATACGGTGCAGTTGTAGTGCACTGAGCTGTCGATTGGTGTCTTCGGTGCTTTTAGCAGTACAAACTTCTTAATGTTTTCGTGTAGTGGGGTTGTTTCATAACAAGTGGAAAGAATAATTCATAAAAATCTAATCAGAAGTTTCACCTCACGTGTACACATAAGAACCAGTTGTAGGACACTCCCCAGAGGAATGAATCCCTGAAGATTAATGGGTTTCCTTTGTAAAAAGCATCCTAAAGTGTAACAAAGAGGGAACATGCACTTAAAAAACAAGCACTGTGACCGAGTTGTTTTTGGTTATCAAATGGAATAAAGTGTAGATGGATGAGAGCTGCCCATGAATCGTTACCTATATGCAGTCCCAGGGAGATGACTGTGTATCAGGGCGATCTAATAAGATTGGCTCTTGACGAGTTCCAGACTCAGATTGGCTAGAGTGGAAGACCTTAAATTTATGTCACATTGTTGTGTTGAGTGTGGATTTGTGTTTACAAGAAGAAACTTGTAAGCACTTTCAGATACAGAACCTAGGATATTCTTCAAATAGGTTGAAAAGCTCAAAAGTAGACATGTAAATACATTATTGTAGCATTTAAATTTTCTATGTTTGCCTACTTTTAGATCTTTTCCAAGTTTCTGGAAAATTCTGGTGTCTAAGTACTCCGCATTTTTGTATGCTGTTATTGTGGTGCCATGTTTAGTGTACATATAAATATTATTTTAAAAATAATGTTTTGCAGTCCTCTAAGTTTTTGTTGTCTTAGTCTAATTTTGCCACCTCAATCTACTGTTTGATGTCACATCCAATAAACTTGACACATCTAAGTATGTCTATAGTATAACTGTTACTCATATTGTTTTCCAAGTGGTAACAGGTATGTGCATTGACATTCTTAAGGTTTTCAGTTTTTACAGAGCACTGAAATATATGGACTCTAACATGGACTTTATGTAAAGAAACCCACGGACTATTAATGGACAAAACCATGAATCAGTTTGTACTGTGGCACTCAAATCCTAGCACTCTGGGAGAGGTAAGTTGTTGGCTGTACTTTATATTAGGTAAAATGTTGGAATAGCCTTGGATGGGCAAAGGAAACTTCAGGAATGTAATTGAAAAATATAAGCTTAAATCTCTTCATGTTTTAATCAGGATCTTCCAAAGAGGTTTGTTTTGTATATATGAGACAATTGTTACTATTTCTTTGTCAAATCCATCGTGCATTCAAGAAGTTGACAGGGTTTTTTGTTCCTGGAAGTTTATTGTTCTGCTTTCCTTTTTGGGAGTTTAATGCTTTATAACTTCATAAAAATAAATCCATTGATGCCTTGTAAAAATTAGATTTCATGTCATTTAAATCAAGTAGCATCCAAGTTTAGCTATATAATAGTATATATTCTAGATCTATTAATCAATTATATTTTATGCCTTAGGTTTAAGCAAGAGATCCAAAAGTGTCTTTTTTTCTTTATTTCTTTATTTTGCCTTATTTATTCCTCCTCCTCCTCCCCACCCCTGCTTTTTCCAGTTTCTTTTTGAGACAGCCTCACTGTGTAGCCCCGGTAGGCCTCAAACTCCATGTTCCTCCTGTCTCAGCCTCCTGAATGCTGGGATTACAGGCATGCGCCACAACATCTGGCTTTTATTCCTACACCTACTCCTCTTTCTCTTTGTCCTCCTCTGCCTCCTGGTACTGAGGATTGGACTATATCAAAACATGATGTACTTTTAAATTTTTTTAAAGTTGGGATTACAGGCATTTGCTACCAGGCCTGATGGCTATTTTCTTTCCATTTTTCCCACTTATTCCTCCTTTCCATCTTTCCTTTCTTGCATTTCTTAGATAATTCATCAGCCCTTTTTATACAACTTTCTATTCAGATAGTAAATTTTTTCTCTGTTTCTGTTTCTGTCTCTGTTTGTCTACCTGTCTCTCTGTCACTTTTCCTAATTCAGCAGTTTGTTAATTTTCAAAACTTTAAAAAACAAATAAAAAAAAAACCCTTAACTTTGTGGTGTTTGGTACCTATTAGTCACTGACCATTTAACTCATAATTTTTTTTCTGGTCTCTTTTGTAGGTATTCTGGCTTCTTGTTTAGAATTTGTTTAATTCTATTAGAAGGCAGTACTTCTAGGAATTAATCTTTTACATCTATTTGCATTTGCACACAAAATTTGCATAGGAAGATATCTGTTACGGTATTGTTTGATATTAAAAAAAACTAGAAATAATCTAGACATGCTAGAACAGAGGCCTGGTTAAATAAATAACTTCATACAATGTAATACTTTGAGGCTCTTAGAATGAAGTGAATCCAATAATGCAGATATGGAAAAATCGCTAAGATAACTGAGAAAAACAATACAAAACTATATCATAGTGTGAGAACTATATGATAATGATAAGAAGCATATATTTACTACTTACGTATAAAAATCTCTTCAAACCTATATAAGGAACTATAGACAGAATTTCTTGGAGAATGAGACTAGAGATCTTGTCTACTTGTATTTTTAATGTATACTGTTTCTGATGGATTGAATTTTTACTATGAGCATGTTTTATTTTTGTAATACTAAGGAACAGTCAGGCTTTAGGATAATTTAATGAATATTCCTTATAGCTTTCTGTCCTTAAAATCATTTGCACTATTTAAGAGTGCAGTTAGACCGTATGCTATTGTTTTTCAGAGCTCAAGGAAGGTTTGGCAATATTCTAATTGGCTTTAAACCTTGTCATTACTCAGGTACATTGTATAGAATGTTGCTGACCTGACCCAGTGATGTGATGGTTATTGCCTTTGTTTGCAAGCTAGGTTTGTATTGCTTTGGCAGGTTCTTCTGAGCATCTCAGTTTTACTAAATGGGATGGGCTTTGTTTTATTTGAATTGCAACTTAGGTACTCTACACCCTTTCCTCCCCTCTCCCCCATCCCTTTCTTTCTCTTTTCCTCCCATCACCCCCTTCCTTCTTTCCTTCCATCTTTCTTTCTTTTGTGGTGCTGGAGATCAATCCCAGGGCCTCGAGTAAGCCAAGCAGGCACTATAACACTGCACTACATCCCAAGCCCCTGGATCCTTTATTCTTTAAACAAGTCTTGCAGTTAGTGTTTGACCTTGTTCTTGATGTTTAGCATTGGCTTAAGGCATTTCAAAGAATAGCTTGTTCTCTATTAATAAAATCAATAAACTACAAAGATAATTTAGACAGATATACATGGATGATCTCATTCTCTGTTACTTTGAATTGGTCGATTATCTGCTTGGACTCAGCAGAAATGGTGACTTTTCTCTGTTTTTATCTTCTCGTATGTTTATTGTGGGACATTTTGAATAATAGCAATAGTAAAGTGAATTATACAACAAATACAAAAATATAATCTTAGTTTAATTAATAAAGGGATTTATGTGAAACTTGGTTGAGAATAGGGTATATAAGATACATACCTTTATACTACTGGTTGTGTATCTTATAAAACCATAATGATGATCACTAAAATAGTGGCTGAGTCATGTTTAATAGAAAAAAACAGGTTATGTCAAATATTTATTTTTGTAGTGCTAGACATTGAACACAGGGCCTTGTGCTTGCTATGCTATGTACTCTACCACTGAGCTACCCCCAATCCCAACCATTATTCTACTTTTTTGAAATGAGGTTTCCCTATGTTGCTTAGGTTGGTCTCGAACTCCTGGGCTCAAGTGATCCTCCTTCTTCAGCCTCTACAAGCATGTATGCTTTATACTATATTTTAGCAAAGAGTCACCTCTGTATTAAATGACACTTTGTTAAGAATTTAATCACTGTGGCCTCAAAGGGGAATCATTGAGAAGGTTGCCTACCGTGGGACTCTATTCTTGCTAAGAGAATGGCTAGCAATGACTTGACTCCAAGGGTAGATTGTTTTCCTGAATCAAGATGCTAGGATATGGTAAAAATGGCATCTATTAAGGAAATTAATGTGAATGTAAAACTTAGATGTCGAGAACATAGAATTGAGAAATATGCCTGTACATGTGTATGTGCATACACATAGATATACGATACATTATATTACATTTATATATATAATTTCCTGGAACACCAGAAATTTCAGATAGGAAGTCGTGTAGTTAGTGCAATGAAAATTTTCAAAAGTCAGCATTTTAAGGCCTCAGTGATAGGAAGGCAGAAAACCCTGAGAATGAGAAAATGAAAATCTAGCAACATAAACAATTACAGCTAAGAGTATCTAAAATTCTGTTTGCTGATATATATGTATATTTTTGGGAGGGAGCTCAGAATTTTATTGCTTTTCAACTTTAATTGAACTAGATCCAAAGCCTTTCCTACCATTCCAATTATGTATAATCAAGATTAAGATTAAATAGACCCAATTAACCTATAAAGTGTTAATATACAATATATAAAAACTGATTTTGTTACTACATTGCCTTGAAGAATAAGAGAACTGTTTTAATTAATTTCATGATTAAATAAAGGAATAACTGTGATAATTGAGATTGAGGGGACTAGAACTGGTTTTTTTTCCCCCAGGAAATAGAAGATTTTAGGAATACTGGGGAAATTCCATAGGCAGTATGTTTGTTCTCTGTTTAGTGCAAAATTAATCGTGAATTTGAGAAAGTATTAAGCTTGTCAATGATGAAGCAGATTGTGTTAAGAGACTGTGAGCTCTGGGTCATTAGTTTTGTATTAGCAAAGTTTGAAAATCATGAATATTGTAAGAGGATTTTTCACTGTATGGGAAAGTGTACTAGATTATTTTGAAGGCTTCTTTCAACTTCTAAAACATTTTTTGTAGTGTAATAAACTGATTCGTTGCAGATATGTTTACATTCTACTATTCCGATATTTAAGTAGCAATTACCAGCTTACCCACTGGTCACTAACCCACTAACCTCACCTCATCCATAATCAGAATACAAACTTAAAAATTACCTGTGCACCCAAAGTATAAGGCACAAAATCCACTTGTTTTTCTCAGATCCTTACTTGGTTTATGTATTTTTATTGTAGACACAGTTCTAACCAGCCTAATTAACTGGTACCTCGCTCTCCAGGATACAGAAAGCAACAAATTGTGATTGGTTTCAGCACTCATTAGAGGTAGGCCCATCAACAGGATGGAAAGGAAAAAAATCATAAAGCAGAACAGCTAATTTTAAAATTGAAGCAACCTGTGCCCTTTTGGTTATATGAAAACAACAGAGCTCCCAAATGATAACCCTGACTGAATGTAAATAATTTATATTTAGTATTTTCTATAGAAGAAGACAAGGAAGAATACCTGAATTTTAGAAAAATTTATTTCGTGTACTTGATAATAAAAGATATGCTTGGGCCGGGAATGTAACTCAGTGGTGTGGTACCTGCCTGTCAAGCTGAAGGTCCAGAGTTTGATTCCCAGTACCAGGTGTGTGTGTGGCGGGGGGAGATATGCAATTATTTTGGCATCTGGAGAGGCTGCATTGTAATGGGAAGAACAGACCTGAGAGTTAAAGTAGCAGCTCTGATTCTGGGTTCCAGTATTTGCCAGCTATTCTAACTGTTATATCAGGGAAGATAAATAGTACCTAGATAAATTGCCTATATAAATAGTAGCTGTTTTTGTTGATATTTCATTACCATAAACTCACTCTTCACAGATCTTAATATATATAAGTTTAATATATTTATTAATGCTGATAATGGTGGTGGCATGCTTAAAAACTTCAAAAAATTACACAAGTAATTCATGTCTACTTCACAAAAATTAGGATACAGGAAAAAATGCCTGGGGTTCACCTATTGCTTAGAGGTAGAGGGAATGCTTAACATATGAGAGGCCCTGGGTTCAATCCTAGGGTGGGAGCTAAGCAAAAAAAGGGAGTAAAGTCACTTATAATTCTTTATCACTGTTAATATTTTTATGTCATGCTTTATGTTTTAAACTGCTTTGACATTCCTGCTGTGTATCACTTCTGAGCCGTGACTTCTAAAACTGTGCATTGCTACTCTTGGGTATTTAATCAGTCATTGCGCTTTTTCA